AGACGCAGACGCAGCTACCTGAGGGGACTCAGTGGTCAGTGTGTACAGACTCGAGCCAGGTGCACGGGTGAACGTGGCCAAGTGCCGGCCCGTCCTAGCACACGTACAGTGAGTCACTCGCTGACTCGCAGGAGTGAACTGGTCAACCTCCCGATCCTGGAGGTCAGCTCCACTCACCAAGTTCGTAGAGAACGAGGGGAGGTAAAGACCTGACAGCGAGCCGGACGGGACGGCCGGACACGGCAGAACCGTGGAGTAGTGGGCAAGGACTGGACCCCCGGAGGGGTCCGCCAGGGAGACTGGAACTAGCCGAATAAGCGGCGTGAGTGTGGTGCAGTCGCGAAAGAAGGAGCGAGAAGCTCCTGAGTCAAGGGTGAAGGTGTGCGAGACCGTAGTTGGCGCAGTACCAGAGAGAGCAGACTCACCAGCACCTGAAGCCACGGCCTCACCAGTACCTAGAGCAGTAGACGTACTAGCACCGAGAGCAGCAGCCTCACCAGCACCTAGAGCAGGAGACGCACTAGCACCTAGAGCAGCAGCCTCACCAGGGTCAGGCGGTACGCACAGATAACAGGCACGATCAGCACTAGTAGGCAATGCATACATGGCAGTGAGAATAGCATCATAGTCAAGCGCAAAGATATCTACCCTCTGTCCATGCAGCTCCAGCCAGGTGGGGAGCTCAGCCTCGTCGCCAAACACTGTGCGCCAGTCGTCGCTCAGACGGGCGAAGCAGCGGGACTGTGTGTGACCAAGCGTCCCACAAGGCTGACCAGTCCTAGCACCTGTGCGAATGACGTACGGGCAGCGAACTGTACGCGTAGACCTGCTACACTGAGCGTACCACTCCTGGAGCTGCCGGGGCGTAAGTGTCTCACGTGGACGCCCCTGCAGCTGCAGCTGGCCACTGCCAGACGCTCCCAACTGACCAGCTCCAGGGCGACAGCTACGACGGCTACTGCGACAACCCCAGCTAGTATACCACTCACTAAGCTGCTGGGGCGTCAGAGGCTCGCGTGAACGTCGCTGGAGCTGCATCTGGTCACCTGCCAGTAGCAGTAGCAGCAGCAGTAGCGCGGGCAAGGCAGGCGCGGCAGGCAGGCAGGCAAGCAGACAGACAGGCAGGCCGGCAGGCAGGCAGGCAGGCCGGCAGGCAGGCCGGCAGGCAGGCAGGCAGTCGCGCAGGCAGGCAGGCCGGCAGGCAGGCAGGCAGGCAGACAGGCAGGCCGGCAGGCAGGCAGGCGCTCACCAAAGGCTGGGAGAGCAGGCGCTCACCGGGCGAGCAGGGCCGGCGCTCGACGGGCGGCGGCCGAGTAGGCGCACGACAGCGGCGGCGTCGGGGCCGCAAAACCGGCTGCAGAGCAGGGCCGAAGCAGCTGCAGGGCGGGGCCGCTTCAGCGGCAGTAGCAGGGTGGGGCCGCGTCAGCGGCAGGTCGGGGCCGTGGCAGCTGCAGAGCGGGGCCGCATCAGCGGCAGGTCGGGGCCGTGGTAGCTGCAGGGCGGGGCCGCATCAGCGGCAGGTCGTGGCCGAGGCAGAGGGCCGCGCGCGGCTCGGCGCGGGCTGCGCTGACAGCGCGCTGAGCTGCTGCAGGCCGCGCGCGGCCGCGCTAGGCAGTAGCGGGCCGCGCGCGGCTCGGCGCGGGCTGTTGCGGGCCGCGCGCGGGCCGCGCGAGGCAGTAGCAGGCCGCGCGCGGCTCGGCGCGGGCTGCTGCGGGCCGCGCGCGGGCCTCGCGAGGCCGTAGCAGGCCGCGCGCGGCTCGACGCGGGCTGCGTGGGCTCGGCGCGGGCTGCGCGCGGCAGCTGCGGGCTGCGCGCGGCTCGGTGCGGGCTGCGCGCGGCTGCAGCGGGCTGTGCGCGGCTCGGCGCGGGCTGCGTGGGCTCTGTGCGGGCTGCGCGCGGCTGCAGCGGGCTGCGCGCGGCTCGGCGCGGGCTGCGCGGGCTCTGTGCGGGCTGCGCGCGGCTGCAGCAGGCTGCGCGGGCCTTACGGGCCTACAGGGGCGGCGCGTGGGCCTTACGGGCCTCTAGGGGCAGTGCGCTGGCCTAGGGCAGCAGGAGGCAGCGCTAGGGCTGCTGGACGGCGCACATAGTGCAGCACGTCACAAGGCAAGGCAAGGCAGGCAGGTACGTGGGGTAGCGCGGTAACCGCAGCGGTAGGTGGGCCCGAAAAAAAAAACGGTCCTACGGACCTTAGTGCTCTGATACCATGTTAGAATCTAGCAGCAGGAATGGATGAACTAGCAGCATGCAGGAGTACAAGTAGTTAACCCTAATTGGGCTGTACCCCATATGGGCTACCCCACTACAGCCTAGACAATATGCAGCATATATGTTTGACAGTTGTTCCTACCTAGAGTTTAGCCTTGTAAAGATCGTAAGGGCTTTTCTCAGCCCAACAGATTATTCTACCGGAAAACGTTAACGCGTTACCCCACTTGCCAAAACAGTCAAAACACTCGATACAGTGATTGTACACGTGATTATTCTATCAGAAAACGTTTCATGACTCATTTTTCTTACTAGTGGCATGTATATTTTTCCTCATATTTGCGTGTACCGTTGGGTGGAGGAAGTGGGATGTGAACGAGTCAACCAACTACACCCTCATTCTCAGTCTGTGCACAATCGCCACATGAACATGCCAGCTGTAATGACATCAATGCGTCCAACATGGTCCAAGAACATACGCTGTAAGCACATTTGCCGTACTTAACCGTACGAACAACTAACTGTAAGTTTACATACCGTTGTTTACCGTTCCCCGGGAGTGCGTTTGCCCGCCACTCACCTAGAGTTCGGCTCCAAGCACCAGATCGCTAGGGTCCAAGCAATCAGACGCACTGTAGCCAGTGCTCCCAATTGTGCGTAGACTGAGAATGAGGGTGTACTCGTTCGATCGCACACATGTGGCCCCAGGTCAGCATATCCATGTTTTGGGGGCACCAGGGCAACTGTGGACAAATGTCATGCTGGGTTGACATCACAAAGCACCGCGATATCGTGCGAATTCCTACAATCCTATACGATTCGTCGTTGCGCTCTCTTTACCCACCAATCCACCGAAGGAATCTATGGAAGCCTGAGGTCGTCACGTGAACATGAGGGCACCCTAGCTTTGCGAACTTGACCGCGTTAGCAGTGTAACCAACTTGGCAGGAATACATTCCTACACCAGATTGTCCTTCGCATGCGCCTGATGCTCACCGCTTTGCAAGGTACGCGAGCTGGAGAGCTCATCTGGCATAATTCCACCTCCACCATGTCATATTTCTCCTCGCATTTCCTTTCGCCGCCATTTTAGCTCATCTGGCGGCGATCTCACGGTGTCGATTTCACGGTATTTGTAGTGCATCTGTAGTTCTAAGGCCACTTGGAAAGCCGGCTTTGCGTGTAAGCCAGACACCTCTAGGTCTTCGTGATTACCCCTGCTGGATCCGTTAATGTAACGTCAAATATGGATGTCGTATCTGGAAAAACAATGATGTCGGGGCTAGCACGCGCTATCCTAGAAGTTATGGAATTTTGTACGTACACCTGTGAGGTGAATCTTGATCAGCCTGATGCCGGCGAGCAAGAAACCGCACGGCTGGACCGTCCGACGCGGGCTGCTTTGGCGTTCGGGCGCTCGTTAGCGCTGCTTCCGCTCGGAGCGCTCTGAATCATGGATAGGGTACCCTTACTGTGCTCTGGGAATGCGTCAGCTTGTACGTCACAGATGTGACTAGCTGGGTTACGGTACGACAATCGCCATCATGGAGCGGTGCCCTGTTCTACTGTTCTACTACGGGGTCACAGTGTGCGGGGACTACGGGGTCATGCCCCCAGGAAAGTCTACTACGGTCTCCAACCGCACGAATGACGCCCCACCGCGGGGCATCGTGTAACGTGTTCCCTTCCATTCGTGCACCCCGCCATCTGCCTTAGCCGAACGAGGTCATCCTTTTGGTAACGGCTGCTACTTATAGAAGTGGTCCCCTTCTTGAGTCAGTCAACAGCTGTATCCGTACTAGACCATTTGAGAAGTTACTGCTTTATTTTTTTCGTCCGGATCGTGTGGTCAGTCCACTGATACCACCACAGCCATGGAGGTCCCTAGCAGCGCGGTCCCGCTGCCGTTTCTCGACTTGCAGTGCTCGTCAGAGTGCCCCGCGGACTGTGACGGAGTTCACATCTCCTGGAAGGCGCACGAAACGGGGGAGGAGGTGCAGCGAACCGCCGCAGGAGCGACTGAATGGGAACCTGCCGCCGCTCGAGTGCCGTTGGGAGCCTGCACTGCCGAGCAGACGTCCTGTCCCTCAAAATTATCGCTGCCGCCATGCGTCACGCACAGCAGAGCGGCAGAGTCAGTGCTCAATGATTCGTTCCAGGTGGAAGCTTGGCCTGATAATGCCATGGCGTCGGTTTCTGAGGTCGGATTGCTTCATGTGGGAGCCATGTCAGACGCCAGCATCTCAGACAGCGGGGGATACGTCAGCATGCTAACCCAGCCTTCACTGGTCGATCAAAGTTTCATGCAGATGGCGGCAGCAGCTGTTATTTCCTCGCCTGTTTCACCCCACGACGCGACACATTCGGTGGCGTTGACTTCAGCTGCTGCCACACTGTCTATTTGTGAGCAGCCTCAGAAATCTACGCCTGCGCCTGCTTCAGCCCACCATCATCAGACCCATCCGGTGCTGAGCACTCCAGCTGCTACTGCATGGCCCATCTGTGAGGCGCCTCCACAATGCATGGCAGCGCCTTCTGCAGCCCATCGTCATCTCCACTCACTGTTGCTCAGCACTCCGGGTGATATTCCCGCTCCTCCTCCTCCACATGCTGCCGCTGCTGCTGCTCCTGCTACATTGCCTGTGAACGTGCCCAGCGCAACCTTCCAGTCTCATTTCCTCCAACAGGAAGCGCCACTATTGCTGAGATCAGTGCAAGCAGCACCGACACAATCGCCAGCATGCAGCACGCGAGACGGAACCCCAGCACCAACCCGAGAGGGAACTCTGTACGACATGATTGTGTCGGGAGGATTCAAGCGCAAGGGTTCCGCCACCTGGTGGGGCGACGATTCCAGTGCTGAGGCCCCGACCATGCAGCAGCCTCGGAAGAAGCAGTGTTTAGTGGGTGGCGATGGAGTGGGTTTCAAACGCCCAGTCAATGGTACTACCGTGTCAGTCTCTCCCACAGTCGGCGGTCAAGCTTCTGCACCACTGTCCTCCTGGGCACGGCTAGCTCCAATTTCTGCCGTTGGATCTGCTACAGTAGGCACCGCCGGGTCTGCTGCTCTGAGCCGTCCACCTGGTGCTGCCACTGAAGGGGCGACACTGCTGGATCCATTGTCGACATTGTCGGCGGCTTCACGAGAGGCAGCCCGGCCAGCAGATTCCGCAGAGCCAGCCCAGAGGGACCAAGTGGATGGCAACGGGCTGGGCTTTGAGCGGCCGCCTATTCCACGAAAAAGCGCTGCAGAGAAGCTTAGAAGACACCGGATCAGGTAAACACAGCTTTGCGCGAAACTGTCTGTTTGTACTCATAACGGATCGTTTTTTTCAAAGACTGATATGGTTGCTTGCCACGTGCCACTGCTGCTGCCTCCCATGTTTGTGCAGTGCCGGATTCAAGCGGCTTGGAAAGGTTCTGCCTCCGTCGTGGATGCGGCAGAACCAGAAACATAAGTTAAACATGGCATCTCGAACAGACATGGCGTCGCTGCTAGATTCTGCGGTGGACTTCATTAGGGAGCTGGAGGTGAGCACGGCTTGGTGTGAGTATCAATGATATGGTGCTTGTTTTGCATCAAGTTGCTGATTTTTTCTTTTCTGCACTACTACTGTGGTGGTTTACAGGACCGAAAGGCCCAGCTTGCACAGGCTTACATTCAGCAAGTATCAAGAGTTCAGCAATGACTATCACAACGCCTTGCATATTGCTTGGATAAGTTAAGCCCCTGGATAGTTGTATGGTAGTACCGTATAATGAGTTTGCCAACAAGTAGTAATGCTTATCAGAATAAAGTGCTTGCTCTCATGCACGATAACTGGTGTCGCAGCCACGATAGGTACGGTACGATCTATGTACACCCGGAAATCACATGTACAGTTTAGCTCTGCACTGTACGAGTGTAGAGCACTCAGCAGCGCTCAAATATCTTGTAGAGGTTCTCAAGTGACGCAATCTGCCGCCACAACAAACCAGGAACGACACGACTGTCAGTTTCAGAAGGCCATGCACGTGTCACCGCTAACGCAATAACTGCTGCGAAAACATGCAATAGCAGTTGACTCCAACAAATCAGGACCGCAAGCTTATGAAGGAATACCATCCATCCCCTGTAGCTCGCCAGTGGGCAGTAGAGAAATGCGAGTGCGTCTCACCTTGATGAAGGTGCCGTCCCTGGCCATGCGCTTGGGGGGCTTGAGGAAGAACTTGAGTGCGGGCAGCAGCACATGCTGAATGCTCCACTCCCACTGCCGCCACATCGCCTCCACCTCCCCCTCACTCATCCCCTCTTCATCACCACCTTCCTCACTCACTCCCACTTCAGCTCCGCCCACTTCACTCCCACTCACACCAGCTGCGGATGCAGCCACTTCAGCCTCCCTCCCACCCCGACCACTCTCCTCACCCGCAGCCCCTTCCAAACGCTGTTCTTTCCGCTTCCTGCTTGCATCCCCATCCCCATCCCCATCCCCATCCCCATCCCCATCCCCATCCCCGTCCTCATCACTGGGTTCCTTCCCTTGCTGGTTGGCAGAGGGGCGCGGCAGCAGCGGTGCATGGAAGGCAAACATGTCCGCCAGTGCAGCCGCGAGCGAGGCAAAGCAGGCCTTCTCTTCGTCCCACTCCACCTGTAGGTAGGTGTGGGCAGGCCGTGGGGATGAGAGCGGGATGAAGTGCGGGGAGTTCATTCATGGATGGTAGAGAGTGGAAGGAGAGAAGGCGATGGAGAGAATCGTGGAGGTGGAACTCCGTGGAGAAACGGATCACAGATGGGCCAAGTGGGCAGCGAGGGATGCATGCGTGCCAAGGGGACCGGCTGGCTGTGGCTACTTGCAAGAGAGCAGAAGAGGAGGGGGGAAGGACACAAAACAAAAAAAAATGATCAGGTGTTGAGGAGAGTGAAGGGGAAGGGAAAGGCACAACGCCGGCAGTGTGTACAGTGCAGGCGAGAATCGGAACAAAAAGTGCAGAGAACCTGAATGCATGTGAGAGAGGAAGGCCGAGTGGCAGCACCTGAGTGGCGAGAGCGAGTGCGAGGGAAGGCAGGCGGGTGAGGTCGGGCGTGTGGTGGTCCAGCAGCAAGGGCAGCGAGAGCAGATGACCGTCCGGGGCGATGGTGAGGGCGAAATACTCTGATAGCATCTCCGCCTTGCCCTGCACTGCCGCCACCCATGCCTGGTGTAAGGGGGAGGAAGAGTAGGGGGGAGTGGGAGGGGGGGGGGGGGGGGGGGGGGGGGGGGGGGGGGGGTAAGACGTTACGGAGGGACCAGTGAGTGGGAACACCTGGGAAACATGTCGATAGTGGTTGAGCATTGGGTTGAGCAGGTGCAGTCATGCATGGTGGGAGGTGTGAGGGGGAAGGGAGAAGGGGCGAGTCAGATGAGTGATGAGAGTGTGACGAATAACAGGATTCAGATGAGCACGTGTCTAGTCTGGCTGCCGGGCACGACACTCAGGTCCAGCAGCAATGGCGATCAGCTGGACTGGTGGCCGGGAGAATGACTTGGGGGAGTGAGGTGATCTCTGGGGCGAGTCAGGTCAGATGGAGGTGGGCGGGGAAGTATTGTGGTGTGACAGGCATGCCATGTGAGTGGAATGGAACACACTGCGTTGTGGTGACGTGCAAAGGAGAGGCAGAGGCGACACCAGCTCGAGGAGAATGCAAGGAGAGAAGAGAAGAGAAGAGGAGTGGGGAGGAAAGGAGAGGAGAGGAGAGGAGAGGAGAGGAGAGAAGAGGAGAGGAGAGGAGAGGAGAGGAGGAAACAAGGACACAAAGATGTTGTGACGGTGAAGAGATGCCGGCCGGTGCTGGAGCAGCACAGTGGCTGCATGTCGAAAAGCATCCTTTCTCGCCTCTGACTCACCTCCACCGTCTCCTGCTTGCACTCGTGAGTTTGTGTGCGCCCACCCGTCCTCTCCTCCTCCTCCAGCGCCAGCAGCAGCAGGTCAGCGAGCAGTGGAGGCGGGTGCAGCGTCATGCATGTGAAGCGCGCAAAGCGGCGAATCGCCTGCTGCCACATCAGCTCCTTGCTGCCGAAGGGAGCAGTGCGGTGTAGCCAGAAAAGTAAGGTCACGGTGTGACAGCAATGCAGGTGATGGGAAGGTGTGGTGAGTATGGAACGTATGGAAATTAAATCGTTACGTGCCGCTCAGCGTAACAAGGTGCGTGCGTGGGTTAAAGCTTGCAGAATGAGAACAGTTGTCACGATGTTAGAATGCTGCTGCAGTGCCAGGGGAAGATCTACCCATGACAGTTCAGACTCACACCTGACGCTGATAGCCAGCCTCTGATGCACAGTTCCCATCCCACCTCGTGCCCCCACCACACCTGATGTTGACAGCATCAACGAGGTAGAGCGACGTGGAGTGCTGCAGCAGCAGGCGCCTGTCGTCCACCATGCCCACGTACGTGCAGTCTGCTAGCAGGGCTGACAGCGCTGCAACCAGCAGGGGGCGGGGTGGGGGCAACAGGAGGGACAAGAGGAGGCTTTTCAGCATCTGCTTTTGTCCCCGACCCCATCATACCCACATGAGGGGCGCGCTGGCAGCAACAATAATCGCCTATTCGCACATCCATCCATCGGACCTGGTGGACTTTGGTGGACTAAGCCCTGGCGAGTGAGCCAAGCGAGAATCATAAGCCGGCAGGCTAGCCCCGGTGTCAACCGGCTCGTCTCAGGACCAGCTTCAGGTCAACCCCATTACCCGGGCTTTGCTGGAACTGCTATGCCTTGCTCGCCTTGTCTTGGCTCGGCTCGGCTCAGCTGGGTGACGAGGCAGTCCAGGGTGGGCGACGGCCGGTGGCTGAATCAGCTTGTGCGTTGTGATCACAGCGAGCAACAACGACAGCACCGCACCTGTGTGTGTGCGTGCCGAGATTTCCTCCATGAACTCAGCTTGTGCCTTGTGATCACAGGCAGCAATGGCATCGCACCTCTGTGTGTGCCCCACCTGTGTGCGTGCGTGCAGAGATCCCTTCCATAAGCTCCTCCACACTCGTCAACCTTTCCTCTCCTCCCACTCCTCCTCCCACCCCTCTCGCCCCTCCTGCCCCTGCAGCTGCCCCCTTGAGACTCCTCCTCTTCCTCACTGCCTGCCTGCTCACACCAATTGGGAATGGACAGCCAACGTGCGGAAAGGAAGGGTGAAGGCGAAGGGCAAGGAGGGGATGCAGAGGTACACACTGAAAGGACCAACACGTGAAAGCGCCAGTCGAACGGGGAAAGTGGATAGGGGGACGTGGAAATGGGGAAGTGGAAAGGCAGCATGACAATTTGCAGTATGCACATGCAGGGAGAAAATAAGGAAAGCGACCCCATGTGCCCTGAGCTCTCGTCCTCCCCCACGCACCTTGTGGCGGCCAAGCTATCCCCTGCCGCCTGCTCATTGCTACTGACCAACCCCGCCTGTAGCTGCACACATGGAGCTGCCACAGCTGCTGCACCTGCTGCACCTGCTGCACCTGAGACATCACCACAGGGCCCTGCCACAGCCACTGCACTCTCTATCCTCCCTTGTTGCGCAGCCCCCACTTGGCCTGACTCCTCAACGTTCCGTCTCCCCCTCGCTCCCTGCTTCCCCCCTTGCCCACTCTCCTCTGCTTCTCTGCTCGCCGTTCCCACTAAATCCGCACAAGTCCCCTCCTCTCCCCCACCATCCGACCCCACTCCCTGTCCTCCCAACTCCTCGCGCCCCTCATCCTCCTCTCCTCCTCCCTCCACGCCTCTTGCCCGTTCCGAGGCTGAATCGAGCGGAGAGGTGGCGGGAGCACTAGAGGGTTGGGAGGAGGGGGACTGGGCAAGCAGTGGTCGGGAGTGCAGTGGCTGTTGGGAAGACAGTGGCTGGGATTGTGAAGGAAATGGCTGGGAGGAGGAGGGCTGGGAGGAGGAGGAGGGACGGTGGGAGAAGAAGGCGTGGAGGCGGCCTGCAGGGATTCGTGCATCCGTGCGCACGAGACGATGCTCTGGTGGCCTGAGGGATGCTGGCAAGAGGGGGGGAGGCAGGGGGCAAGGAGGAAGAGACATGGAAAGAGAGGGAAGGTGGAGGGATCAGAGCATGGGCCATATTGACAGGGTGAAAGGGTACCAGGAAAAGGCACAATGGTGAGATTGGTGCAGAAATTGACAACTGGTAAGGAGACATAGCAAAAGACAGAACAAACATGGAACGAAGCAGGTAAGAAGGCTGACTGGGTGGGCTTGTAGCATTGGTGCCAGAGAGATAATGAAAGGGAGGGTTCCAGCAGGCAGCTGGGCGGGAGATGGAGAGAATGCAAGGTGATGGTACAAGCAGTGGTGAACTGACACCTGTGGGACACCTTCATTTGCTGGGAACGATGAATGGAATGCATACACGGAGAAGGCGAGCGGAGAGAACGCATGCGAGAAAGGGTCGCGAGTTGGAGTGCACGTGTGTGCTGGCACACAAGGCTTGTAGGGACGGTTGGAGGAAGCGCAAGTGAGAGCAGGAGGGATACACGGCTCACAGGTTACGAGTCACGAGGCAGCAGGAGCATACCAGGCGAGGCGTGCTTGGGGGGGCGGTGCTTGGTGGTGGGCGAGGCGATTGCTGTAGCAGGGCTGGACGGATCAGCAGCAGCGGCAGAAGCAGAAGGAGCAGAAGCAGGGGGTTTGAGGGGAGGGGTGGAGGCGGCGAGGAGGTTGGAGTGGGTGTAGAAGGTGCGCGTGTGGTTGGAGGAGAGGATGGCTTGCTGCACCGCCTGCTGCACCGCTGCCACCACCTCGTCCTGGTTCAGGAATCCCACCTGGTGTGTGTGTGTGCATGGAAAGAGTGTGCCGAAGAGCACGGAGTGGGGTTGACAATGTGTTTAGAATGGAAGTATGCAGGATGTCGCATCCAGCGTGCGCCGTGCGAGAGTGCACATGGAGGAGAGCTGGGCAACTGCCGCCTGCACTGCACTGCTGCCGCCTCCTTGTCTCTGCCTGCATTCGATACCCCCCCACCTGATTGGGAGCGATTGGCTGGAGAAGGAGTCACGGTTGTACGGAGGTGACGGGGGAAGGGGCTTGGGGGCTAGAAGTTAGAAGCATGGGTGGATGGTCAACGGGTTGCTGTGGCCATGCCATGGTCACACATCACTGCTGCCCCAGGCACGTACTACAACGGCTTGCAGGCGCTGCAGTGTGCGACGTATGTATGATGGTGAGGACAGCAGGCGGGGAGAAGGGGGTGCGACGAGCGCAGTCTCGTGAAGAGAAGCGTGCTGTGGTGGTGACGGCCCCCACAGTCATGGGTCAGTAGGGGGAATGGCAGTACGTTGATCAGACATGGCTGGTGTGGCAGCCTAACTGTGCGTGCACACCTCACCCTTGGTGGCAGAGAAGGGGGTTGAGCGGCACAGGAGGGGGGTGGGCGGCAGAGGAAGCGGGTGGGGCGGCAGAGCAAGGGAGGTGGGCGGCAGAGCAAGGGAGGTGGGCGGCAGAGCAAGGGAGGTGGGCGGCAGAGCAAGGGAGGTGGGCGGCAGAGCAAGGGAGGTGGGCGGCAGAGCAAGGGAGGTGGGCGGCAGAGGAAGGGGGTTAGGCGGCAGAGGAAGGGGGTTAGGCGGCAGAGGACGAAGGGCGGGCGACAGCGGAATGGGAGTGGGCGGCAAAGGAAAGGGGATGGACGACAGAGGAAGGGGGGTGGAGAACGGATGAAGCAGAGGAAGTGGGGAGCGCACCTCGTGCTTGGTGGGGCGCACGTTCACGTCCACGTGGTGGGGCGGCAGAGGAATGGGGGTGAACGGCTGAGGAAGGCGGGTGAACCCCTAACCATCGCATGCATGTGGTGACACAGTCGTAGGAGGAAGGGCGGCATAGTAGAGGCGGTACCTCGCGCTTGGTGGGGTGCACGTTGACGTCCACGTGGTGGGGGGTAGAGAGAGGGAGAGGTAGAGGAAGGGACGCGCTGCCTTTGGCAGGATGGCTGCATATGTGGCCTCACACGCCTTGCGCAGTGGCGAACACTCCACCAGGCGGTCTGATGGTGGGGTGCGTGGGAGGGGTGCGCAGAGGGGTGCGCGGAGGGGTGGTGGAGAGAAGGGAAAGGGACAGACAGGCAAGAGGGCATGGGGAGGATTGAGACGGAGGGGTACACGAGAGGGGCAGATGGGAGGGCGGGTGCTCAAGGTGAGTTGGGAATTGTCTTGTGAGTTGCTTTGGTACAGGAGACAGTAGATGGATGGGTGCACATGCTTGTGAGTGAACGAGACAAACAGGGAACAGCTGAGTAGTGAGTGGAGAGAGAGCGGGAGGAAGGAGGGGGGGAAGGGAGGGGGAAGAGAGTGGGGGGATGGCGAGCGCGAGGGGTTGAGAGTTTATCGAGAGAATATTCCGACATAGGCGAGGGCGAGGGCGAGGGCGAGGGCGAGGGCGAGGGCGAGGGCGAGGGCGAGGGGTGGTGCGTACTGTTGATGAAGAGCACCATGGTGGTCTTCTTAGCACTGTAATTCGCCGATGATATCAACCCCCTCATGGAGAACTGCACACCATCACCTCTGGCCCCCTCGTCACTCTCACCACCTTCCCCTCCTTCCCTGCCTTCCCCTTCTCCCTCTCCCATCCCCCTTCCCCCTCCCCCAGGCCCCTCTTTCTCCCCCAATCCCCCGCGGCGGGCGTGAATGGGAATGAGGTCACGAGCCACAGCAGCGCCATACACGGCTCGCACCGCCTCCACTTGTCTCCTCCGCCGCTCTGCCTCCGCCTCCTCCTCATCCTCTTCATCCTCCTCCTCTTCATCATCCTCCTTCTTCTCTCCCCCCTTCTCCATCGCCTCTTCTCTTCCCTTCGTCCCTTCTCCCTCCCCTGCCTTGTCACCTTCCCCCCCCGTACACCCCTCCTCCCTGCTCTCCGCGCCCAAGCCCTTTCCGCTCTCTTTCCCTCTCCGCCGTTTCTTCCCACCTGTCCGTGCTTCCTGCTTGGGAGCACCAGGGGTGAACAGGTCGGTGCGTGCCTCACCGTACTGGCATGAGGGGAGGCACGGAGGCAAGAAAGAGGGAGAAGAAGGAAAGCAGGAGGAAAAATGAGATGGGCAAGGGGGCACACCTGGGAGCACCAGGGGTGAAGCGGTGTTAGCCTCTCTAACTCTACTCACGGGTAGAGGGGAAAGACGAGGGATAGGGTGGGATGACGGGCGTGCAGGATGGAGGGAGAGCGTGGGTGCGGAGAGAGGGACGAGGGGAGGCTGAGCGTGCGTGAGCAGCAGCAGCAGGCACCCTTCGCTCACCTTCTTGCAGGAGAAGCACACGTCATAGTTGTGGATGGCGAAGCGGGAGAGCACGTCGAGGATGCGTGCGTACTCCTCGCTGTGGCTGCGGAAGGCCTTGCGGCGTGCAGGCACGTTGAAGAAGAGGTCCTCCACCAGCACCTGCGTGCCCTGCACCGCCGCACACGCCACCGCCTCGCCCTGCAGTTCACCGTCCCGATATTGAGCCCTGCCGGGTGCGAGGACAGGCAGAGGGGATTAGACATATGTGGAAGGAGAAAGAAACGTTAAAGAAGAAGTCCTCCACCAGCACCTGCGCGCCCTGCACCGCCGCACACGCCACCGCTGAGCCTTCCAGCATTCCGTCCCGATATTGTGCCCTGCAGGGTGCGAGGAGAGGCAGAGGAGTTTCTCTTTGAGTTGATGGATGGGAAAGAAAGGCACGTTGAAGAAGAGGTCCTCCACCAGCACCTGCGTGCCCTGCACCGCCGCACACGCCACTGCCGCGCCCTGCATCTCCCCCTCCCGGTACTGTGCCCTGCGAGGTGGGTGAGTAAGGGGAGAGGCGGAGGAGTTCTGATTTGAGTCGACACGGAAGAACGGTATGTTGAAGAAAGGGTCGCCCATTCCACCCTCACCTGCGCGCCCTGCTGCACCGCCGCACATTGCACTGCCACTCCCTGCACCTATCCGCCCAGCACGCACAGTCCAGCAACCCTAGAAGCGGCAGCAATAGAAGCGGCGCACCTGAAGCCGTGCGTGTGGCCGGCGGTCATGGTGGTGACGGTGAGGTGCGAGACGTAGGTGAGGCTGGCGAGGGCCTCGCCGCGGAAGCCCAGCGTGGCGATGCTCTCCAGGTCCGAGAACTCCCTCAGCTTCGACGTTGTGTGCCGCTCACACAGGATCGGCAGGTCCTCCGGCTGGCAGGGGAAGAGAAGGGGGTGAGGGGAGCGGGGGGAGGGGTGAGGGGAGCGGGGGGAGGGGAGAGGGGAGAGGGGGAGGGGAGAGGGGAGAGGGGAGGGGAGAGGGGAGAGGGGGAGGGGAAGAGGGGGAGAGCGGGAGAGGGGAAGAGGGGGAGGGTGTTGGTTTAGACAGGGATGGCGGTATGAAGGGGAGGCGGTAATGGGGCTGTTGATTATATGTGCCCTGCCCTTCCACAGTATTGGCAGTACATTCACTCCCCCCTGCCTCAGCACTCACACCTTCCACCGCAGCAACACCCCCACCCCCCACCCCTTCTCGCAGCACTCACGCGGATGCCATGGCCGTCGTCGGTGATGAGCATCATCTTGAGCCCGCCGTCCTTCACGGCGTCTCAAAATGGTGCACTCACGCACCCCGATCGCGCCACTCACCCCCCTTCCCCCACCACTCACGCGGATGCCATGGCCGTCGTCGGTAATGAGCATCATCTTGAGCCCGCCGTCCTTCACCACCACCACGCCCACGCTGCGCGCGCGCGCGTCCAGGCTGTTCTCCACCAGCTCCTTCACGGCCGACGCCGGCCGTTGGATCACCTCGCCCGCCGCGATGCGGTTCACCACCGCCTCGTCCAACCGCCGGATGACAGGTGGCAGCACGGCGGCGGCGGCGGCGTCGCCGCCGTCGGCTGCGGCGGACATGCCTGCGGGTTATTCAGAGGAGGTTTCGTACATGAGATGCAGTAATACCTGCAGTTTTACGCCCCCTTCTCCCCACTAGAGCTTCGAGTGACCAATGGCGTGAAGGTAACGTGACTAGTACACGTGGCTATTGGCAGTGCCCGGGCCGAGGATGCGCGTCGAGCTAGGAGAGCCCGCGGCCACAAAAGCGGCACTCGCGGCGCCTTTTTCTTCGAACCGTTCAGGAAGCGGTTTCGGAAGCTTTCCACCTATACCAGTCAGTCTTAAGAACTTGATCGATGAGGCTTCACAAGCAGACCGTCTTTTGAGTGCAGAGCTTTCTGAGTGCGTTTACCATCAACAACTTTCGAAACTTCGAAATCTGAAGTGTGTTCTGCGATCGGTGTTCTGATCTGATAGTGACTTCACGATCACGAGGGCCACACTTGAACTGTCCCGCTAAAACTACACTACAACACCGCACGCAGTGTTGTGCGTTCCAAACAATATAAATCCGAATCACTAGCAATGTCACAACAGATTCTTGCACTGGACAGCCCCGCCTCACGAATGGTTGTCAGTATTTACTGTATTGCATAAACCTTTCATCATTACCTACTAGTACTCAACATTAGCAGGCATATTTGGTAGACGTCTGATTGTGACGAAATCGAAACTTGACCTGATGAAGTCCCAGAAACTGGCTTCACGTTTTTTGAAAGAGGAAAAGGGAAAGAGGGAGAAGGAAAAGGGAAAGAAAGACACCAGAAACAACTCAAACGCAACACCCATAAAAAGCCCCATAAAAATACTCCATAAAGAAAAAAACCCAACCAGGATCCCCTACCAGACGTCCCATCTCGCACCCCATTCCCCCTCGCCCCCCCCCTCTCTCCCCCCAAGTCACATCTGCACATCCACCATGTAGGGGGCCTCCACCCAAAGAGGCCCGCCCTCCACCTCGACATCGTCCCTCTCCCGATCCACCAAGTCCACATTCAACCCCCCCATGGAAGACGCCGCCCGAAGCAGGATGACACGAGCTTGCGCCCGTTGTAACGCCACTCCGATGAGCGCCTTCAGAGACCCCAAAAGGTAAGCCGAGAACGAAGTGTCATCCTCCCGACAAGCCCCCCGTGACACAGCTAGCCCCACGTGCGCGTCCCCCTGCTGTCGAAGCCACCGCCGGAAGCGACCGCCGAGACACCCCCACGTCTCCACTATCAAAGGGGTGAACTGCACGCCTCGGTTCCGTGCAAGAAGAGGCGCGTAATCCCCCGTTTTGCGACGCTCCCACTCCTTTGCCGCCACGCCTATAGACCGCCCGCACTGCCCTAGCAGAGATGGAGACAGTGATAGCGGGTCCGCGACACTAATCTCTAAAGCATGAGCCTCCCCAGCCATTGGTCGTCGCACCGCTACGTCAACCCGCTTCCCCGGCAGCACCGCACTATCCTCCATCGTCACCACCCCCCCTGACCAAGTGCCTGCTTGGAGCAAGTGCTTGCTTGGACCAAGTGCTTGCTTGGACCAAGTGCTTGCTTGGACCAAGTGCTTGCTTGGACCAAGTGCTTTGTTGGACCAAGTGCTTGCTTGGACCAAGTGCTTTCTTGGACCAAGTGCTTGCTTGGACCAAGTGCTTGCTTGGACCAAGCAAGAACTTGGTCCAAGCAAGCACTTGGACCCCCACCCCGCCTCGGTGGATCCGGTTCCCACCCGGGATGGTCCGGACCCCTACCTCCCAGCTCGTCCTGGGCGGCAAACAGCAAGCAAGGCACGCAGTATGCACAGAAGAGGACATGTCAGCATGCATATAACAGGACACAGAAGCAACCACAGCGAAAGGCACGTCAGCGGCATGTGGCCAAATTGGACATGTGAACTGGTGCAACAGAGCAGGGGGGGCGTAGATCGACACAGCAGTGTGGTGCACACGAGGGGGGCAGAGATTGGCGCACATTAAAGCCGGAGTAGGAGTTGTAGAAGGCGGAGGCAGAGGGGATGCTGTCCGTGTACTTCTTCGGGTACTTGCGAGCAAAGTTGAACAGCTGTCGTCGTGCCGTGAGGGCAGGGAAGGGGGGTTGGGGTGGACAACGTGTCACACGGGAAACGGGGGCATGGGGAAGGCGGACTGGGTGGTTCTCCGTCCGCCTCTGACTCCTCCGCAGTCGCCATGGGGGTATCAAACTCCAAAAGTCGGCACCACTCCTCCAACTGCTGTTCCCGGTCGTCCATCGATCCCCCCCCTGCCTGCTGCGTACCCTGGGGTGCCCCGGGCACCCCCGGCTGCCCCCCTGCCTACTGCTCTCCCTGGGGTGCCCCGGGCACCCTCGGCTCCCCTCCTGCCTGCTGCACTCCCTGGGGTGCCCCGGGCACCCTCGGCTCCCCTCCTGCCTGCTGCACTCCCTGGGGTGCCCCGGGCACCCTCGGCTCCCCTCCTGCCTGCTGCACTCCCTGGGGTGCCCCGGGCACCCTCGGCTCCCCTCCTGCCTGCTGCACTCCCTGGGGTGCCCCGGGCACCCTCGGCTCCCCTCCTGCCTGCTGCACTCCCTGGGGTGCCCCGGGCACCCTCGGCTCCCCTCCTGCCTGCTGCACTCCCTGGGGTGCCCCGGGCACCCTCGGCTCCCCTCCTGCCTGCTGCACTCCCTGGGGTGCCCCGGGCACCCTCGGCTCCCCTCCTGCCTGCTGCACTCCCTGGGGTGCCCCGGGCACCCTCAGCTCCCTCCTCCCTGCTGCACTCCCTGGGGTGCCCCGGGCACCCTCGGCTCCCCTCCTGCCTGCTGCACTCCCTGGGGTGCCCCGGGCACCCTCGGCTCCCCTCCTGCCTGCTGCACTCCCTGGGGTGCCCCGGGCACCCTCGGCTCCCCTCCTGCCTGCTGCACTCCCTGGGGTGCCCCGGGCACCCTCGGCTCCCCTCCTGCCTGCTGCACTCCCTGGGGTGCCCCGGGCACCCTCGGCTCCCCTCCTGCCTGCTGCACTCCCTGGGGTGCCCCGGGCACCCTCGGCTCCCCTCCTGCCTGCTGCACTCCCTGGGGTGCCCCGGGCACCCTCGGCTCCCCTCCTGCCTGCTGCACTCCCTGGGGTGCCCCGGGCACCCTCGGCTCCCCTCCTGCCTGCTGCACTCCCTGGGGTGCCCCGGGCACCCTCGGCTCCCCTCCTGCCTGCTGCACTCCCTGGGGTGCCCCGGGCACCCTCGGCTCCCCTCCTGCCTGCTGCACTCCCTGGGGTGCCCCGGGCACCCTCGGCTCCCCTCCTGCCTGCTGCACTCCCTGGGGTGCCCCGGGCACCCTCGGCTCCCCTCCTGCCTGCTGCACTCCCTGGGGTGCCCCGGGCACCCTCGGCTCCCCTCCTGCCTGCTGCACTCCCTGGGGTGCCCCGGGCACCCTCGGCTCCCCTCCTGCCTGCTGCACTCCCTGGGGTGCCCCGGGCACCCTCGGCTCCCCTCCTGCCTGCTGCACTCCCTGGGGTGCCCCGGGCACCCTCGGCTCCCCTCCTGCCTGCTGCACTCCCTGGGGTGCCCCGGGCACCCTCGGCTCCCCTCCTGCCTGCTGCACTCCCTGGGGTGCCCCGGGCACCCTCGGCTCCCCTCCTGCCTGCTGCACTCCCTGGGGTGCCCCGGGCACCCTCGGCTCCCCTCCTGCCTGCTGCACTCCCTGGGGTGCCCCGGGCACCCTCGGCTCCCCTCCTGCCTGCTGCACTCCCTGGGGTGCCCCGGGCACCCTCGGCTCCCCTCCTGCCTGCTGCACTCCCTGGGGTGCCCCGGGCACCCTCGGCTCCCCTCCTGCCTGCTGCGCTCCCTGGGGTGCTCCGGGCACCTCCGGCTGCCCTCCTGCCTGCTGCACTCCCTGGGGTGCCCCGGGCACCCTCGGCTCCCCTCCTGCCTGCTGCGCTCCCTGGGGTGCTCCGGGCGCTCTATGGGGTCCCCCTGTCACCCCCGGCTGCCCCCCTGGCTGCTGCACTCCCCGGGGTGCCCTAGTCCTCTCCGCCCGACCACCGGTCTGCCACCCTCCCTGGGTTGCCTCTGTCGCCTCCGGCACCTCCCCGGCCTGCAGCACCCCCTGAGGCGCCCTTGTCGACCCCTGCTGACCCCCTGGCTGCTGCTCGCCCTGGGATGCTCCTTGCAACTTGGCTGCGTGTCGTCTCCCTCTTCGGCCCCGAGCTCGCGACCTTTTCGCTTGGCCTGCGCCGCCCGGGCTAGCGACCCCCTGCTGAACCCGCGCCTGTTGCTCTTGCAACCCACTCGTCGGCTCTTCAAGTTGCATGCTTCTACGCTCTTGGGGCCGGTTCCTTTCTCGACACCCTTGCTGCTCCCCTTCTTGCGGCTGAGACTGATTCTCCGTTTGACACCCCTCCTGTACGCTTCCCTGCCGCTCTCCCCCCCCCTCCTCCTGTGGCTTCTCCATCTCCACCTCCAACACCTGCGGCCACTCAGCTTGCAGCCCAAGCTGTCTCTCGACCTGCTGCTCCGTTACCATTCCTATCTCTATCTCCATGTCCACTTCCGACTCCTGCTCCCCCCCAGCCTGCGGGTCTTCCTTCCCCTCTGCCGGCAGCTCTTGCTGCCTCGTTGCCTGCGGCTCCTGCTGCCCTCCAGCCTGCAGCTCTTGCTGCCTTCCAGCCGGAAGCTCCCCATCTCCATCACCATCACCGCCTCCGAAGCCTGCTGCCCCTCGACCTGCCGGTCCTGATCCCACCCAGCCTGCGACTCCTGCTGCCCCCCAGCCGGCCCCTCTTGCTGCCTCCCAGCCCGCAGCTCCTGCCGCCTCCAGGTCGGCCCCTCTTGCTGCCCTCCAGCCTGCAGCTCTTGCTGCCTTACCCCAGCCTGCAGCTCTTGCTGCCTTCCAGCCGGCAGCTGCTGCTGCCCCCCCATCTCCATCTCCGCCTCCAAAGCCTGCTGCCCCTTTGTCTGCGGCTCCTGCTCCTTCCCAACCTGCGGGTCCCATTCAACCCCAGCCTGCAGCTCCTGCTGCCTCCTAGCCTGCAGCTCCTGCTGCCCCCCAGCCTCCAGCTTTTGCTGCCTTCCAGTAGGCAGCTCCCATTGCCTCCCCATCTCCATCTCCAATTCCAACGTATGCTCCCCCTCAGCCTGCAGGTCCTGCTCCCCCCCAGTCTGCGGGTCCTGCTCCCCCCCAGCCTGCGGCTCCTGCTCCCCCCCCAGCCTGCGGCTCCGCTGCCCCCCGGCTTGCGGGCCTCGCCGCGCTCCTTCCCCTTGACCCCGCGGAACTCCTGATTTGCGCCTCCGTTCCTGTCTTCGGGCTAATCGGGGACCAGGTGTCGCTGAGTTGTCGCATTTAGTGAGTGCCGGGCGTGCTAAAGGGGTGTTAAGTTCTCGCCGACGCTTGTCATGCGACTCCTGTAGACGCTGGCGATGTGCCTCCCAAGCTGCCATCGCCGCGTCGGAGGTGTTGCCTTGCCTGTGCTCTCCATTGCCACTTTCGACCACTTCTCTAGTGGCCACGCCTAGGTCGGTATCGAGGCGTTGCCTCTTGGTCAGATTGTCGTGGAGGCACCTAGTGACTTTGTCGCACATGCCGCGGACGAGTGGTCCCTCCTGCTGCTCCGTAGGCTCTCTCCCCCTCTTGTGCCCGGCTATTGGGCAGGTCGCCTTTGAAGTCATCGTTGTCATTCCTTCCTCCGTGCTTCCGGTGGCCCATTTCGCCTTGCCGTCACGTCCTCCTCCCTCCCGGACCCCGGCATCCCCAGGGTCCGGGCTGTCTTCCATGGTTCCGCTGTGACGTCACGTGTCTCGATGTCGGGGCGTGGATCCCGCACCTGGGCAGCCGGTCTCAATGTGGGGGCGCTGATTTGCAGCGCCGGATCTGAGGCTCGTCCTAAACGGCGATTTCGCTGGCTGGCGCGCTGCAGAGCGTCCTAAGCGGCGATTTCGCTGGCTGGCGCGCTGCAGAGCGACCTAAGCGGCGATTTCGCTGGCTGGCGCGCTGCAGAGCGACCTAAGCGGCGATTTCGCTGGCTGGCGCGCTGCAGAGCGTCCTAGGCGGCGATTTCGCTGGCTGGCGCGCTGCAGAGCGTCCTAAGCGGCGATTTCGCTGGCTGGCGCGCTGCAGAGCGACCTAAGCGGCGATTTCGCTGGCTGGCGCGCTGCAGAGCGTCCTAGGCGGCGATTTCGCTGGCTGGCGCGCTGCAGAGCGACCTAAGCGGCGATTTCGCTGGCTGGCGCGCTGCAGAGCGACCTAAGCGGCGATTTCGCTGGCTGGCGCGCTGCAGAGCGACCTAAGCGGCGATTTCGCTGGCTGGCGCGCTGCAGAGCGACCTAAGCGGCGATTTCGCTGGCTGGCGCGCTGCAGAGCGTCCTAAGCGGCGATTTCGCTGGCTGGTGAAGTGAGATGTTGCGCATCAGCTGTTTTTTTGGGTTGCTAAGCAACCCTTTACGATCGATTTGGACAGATTTTTTTTCACATTTTATATTTTTTTATAATAAAATGTGAAAAAAAAAAAACTGGGTGCACTAGTTGCTAGCTACAAAACGTGTACCATAAGTTTTATCTAATTCAATTACGATGTGATGGTTCTGACCGCACTGCGTCATATTTTTGTATGTTGGATGATTAGTGGTAATTACGTGACTGTTATGAATATATTATGAATCGTACACATATGCTTAAATGAATATAATAATACATGCTTGCTTGAATATAATGATACATGGTCAACTGAATATAATAATGCAAATGATATAAATGCATTATGTGATGATGATAAAAATGCTTCAGTATGCATAATGTTGGATGTTAAAATGCATGCATACCAGTATATGATATAAATGCATGACAGCTAACGATCCAAAAACTATGCTATCGCATCCCCTGCCTAGCATGGGGGGGAGCTAATAGCATAATCCTTGAACAATCAGCAGTCACATGAAACAACACAATCTGTGAACTCTAAAAAGATGGTCAACTCTATCATCTCCAGTTCAAGTGGGCTCCCGACAGGCGCGCCAATGAACCTTCTAATGAAATGATAGACCTGATTCACCTTTTAAAAACTCACAGACATGCATTGTTATTGCAATGATGGATAAATGCACACTCAGATAAGCAAACACATTCACAACAACCAAACGCATGCACAAAAAAAAAAAAAAAAAAAAACAATAAACAAAAAAAGCCGAAAACCCACGATCACACATAAACGATGCAAAACAAATCAAAAATGGTAATATGGTAAATGCTATAAGTGACAACTACAAATTCTCCAGATTAGATTCGTCTCTCTGGTCAGCAAGACTCCTGAGAGCAAAAAGAAAAGATGAAGAGAAAAGGGAATCATAGAAAACCGTTAAACATGAATAATCAGGATACAAAATTACAGATGAAGAAAATTAAAGGCAAGGTAGGGTCAACATAAGAGAAAATAGAGCAAATCAAACAAAGTAGAAAACAGAAGCGTAAAATGGAAGCATAAAACGGAAGCAGAACGCGAAAGCAGAAAATGGAAGCGGCAAACTGAAGCAGTAAACATGGAAGAGAGAGAGCGAACGACAGAGAGAGAGGGAGAGAGAGAGAGAGAGAGAGAGAGAGAGAGAGAGAGAGAGAGAGAGAGAGAGAGAGAGAGAGAGAGAGAGAGAATAGAGAGAGAGAGAGAGAGAGCAAGAGAGGGAGAACGAGAGAGAGAGAGAACGAGAAGGGATGTCAAAGAAATGAAATATAACATATGAATGAATGGAATGAACCAGAATGAACAACATACTAACAACGGTGATTTAGGAAAGCGGAAAAAGACAAACACACACAACACAACAACAGTGGTTAAATACGAAACTATGCGAATAAGGTGCGATGAGAATCAGAAGATGAACACACACAACAGAATGAAAGAACCAGAGAGAGAGAACAAGACACGCAACAGAATGAAAGAACCAGAGAGAGAGAACAAGATACACACAACAGAATGAAAGAACCAGAGAGAGAGAACAAGATAGAGAGAGAGAGAGAGAGAGAGAGAGAGAGAGAGAGAAGAGAGAGAGAGAGAGAGAGAGAGAGAGAGAGAGAGAGAGAGAGAAGAGAGAGAGAGACCATGTATCATTATAATGCAAATGATATATAATGCAAATGTGACAATATCCACGTAGACAAAACGGAATGAAAGAGAGGATGATACAACACTAAGGTAGGATGATACATCATCTTCTGGTTAACATGTACGTCTAGATCTAGTTTAAAAAAAAACAAAACTCTCAACCATGATGAGTTAAACTAGGACCCACTCTCAACTAGAATGAGCTTAAGAATAGAGAGAATAAAGCTTACCTTAATATGAGCTATAGTCTGGGGCGTGAGTAGCGTGAGTGACGTGAGGGACGGGAGAAGGTAGAGTAATCTGAGTAGGTGGAAGAGAAACGAAGCAAAAGGAATTGACGAAACCCTAGGATGGGACCTTTTCGGTCGCGTTCCCGGTCTAGTAAAATGCCGCCGAATTTTAGACAGCGTGTTTAGCACAGCGCTATCGAGGTGGCGTTTCGTCGCGAATCTAGTGGTGCGCATTGTTTCAGATCCGTTTTGTACTTGTGTTGTTTCAGATTTCCAGTCACCATAAAACCAAATAATCTGTACAGAATAAGAATAACATAAAGATTCTTCTTAACATTCAGAATCTATATCCAAAACGACCACACACCCATTCATTTATGTAACCCTAAATTATATGTCAAATGTATATGTAAATAGCAGTAATTTATCAAATATCAAGTCATGTTACGATATTATATAATTCTCATTATAGGTCAAGTGCATCTATTACAGTGTAATGTTGCTTCGCAACCCGAAGACGATTTCGTCGCCTCTTGTTTTTTTTTTTTGGGTTGCGAAGCAACCCTTTACGATCGATTTTGCCAAATTTTATTTTCATGTTTATATTTTTTGTTAAAACATGAAAATAAAATTTGCAAACTACAGTAATACCCTTCCCATACTGTATGCATGTTAAGCAGTCTTGACTATAGTACTGTTCACAATGTATTAGACCATAGGAATTTTTTTTGCAGTTGTTTAGTGCACATTTGCTGTACTGTTTGCATTACCGTATATGTTTTATTGTTGAATGGTGTTGTGTGATAATAAATTGATGCATGCACAATGCATAAATGATGCTATACAATGCATAATGCATAAATAATGCTATATAATGCGTGTGATATATCATGAATGATGCGCGTGCACATGGTAAAATGCGTGACAGTTAAAAACCCAAAAACTAAGCTACCGCCGTCCCCTGCCTAGCATGGGGGGGAGGTAAATAGCTTAGCTTTTGAATAATCAACTACCACATGAAACAACACAATCTGTGAAATCTTAAAGGAAAGTCATCTCTATCAAATCCAGTTCGAAGTGGTCGCACACGAGTCACTGAGTGCGCCAATGAACCTTTTGTGAAATGATAGATTTGAGATTTCTTTTTAAAGATCAAAGACGTGCGTTGTTATTGCAATGGATACGGATGAATGCACACAGCCACAGCACACACACACACACAAAGGCACACACACACATACAAACACATATACAAGATCACACACATTAATACAAACGGAAAAAAAAAACCGTAAATGAAAAAAACTCTAAAACAACAAAACATGCAATACAAAACAATCCTACAGATTACCACTACTATCCACTTCACAAGTAATCTTGGCAGATGTACACATCTGGAACGAAAGCCAGAAGGAAATCTGGAAAAACAAATAGGCACCGAATGAAGGAGAGGGAAAGAAGGAAGAGGGGAGAGAAGAAAAGAATTATCAAAATGTGGAGAAAATTGAAAAGAAAGTAAGTCAAATGAGGAGAATATTATAATAACCAAACAGAATGCAATCTAATGGTGGTAAGGTAAAAATGATGAACAACGCTATAACGTTAAAAAACAGAACGCAAAAAACAGAGCAAGTAACAAAACAGGAAACAACGATATA